TAACTCGAAAACCAAGTCCGAGAGAGAAAAATGTTTCAGACAAAAGTTGTATGGTTTCAAGGAGGACATAAGATGGTACCATTTGTTTGACCTTGAAGAGTTATTTGAAGGTCACATGAAGGTCACCTTCAATTTCTTAAATGGAACCTACATTTTCTCTTTACATATTCTTGTAGCTTATCTCGAGAGCTTTCCAAAACACTATAATTAAGTACCTTTTCGTTAAGTACTTTTTGAGTTATAAGGCTTGAAATCATTTCTTAATTTTACATAAATCATAAAATATCTAGTAAAATATTCATTTTTCGATTATCTTACCTTAATACTTTTATGTACAAAATAATGAGAGGAATCAATTGGTGTAAAGAAAACATACAGTTGTTTTTAAGAAAAAATATGTAATTGTTAATTGCAAATTACATATTTTTTCTTAGAAACAACTATGTGTTTTCTTTACACCAATTGATTCCTCTCATTATTTTGTACATAAAAGTAGTAATATAAGATAATCGAAAAATAAGAAATGATAAAATTAAGAAATGATTTCAAGCCTTATAACTCAAAAAGTACTTAACGAAAAGGTACTTAATTATAGTGTTTTGGAAAGCTCTCGAGATAAGCTACAAGAATATGTAAAGAGAAAATGTAGGTTCCATTTAAGAAATTGAAGGTGACCTTCATGTGACCTTCAAATAACTCTTCAAGGTCAAACCAATGGTACCATCTTATGTCCCCCTTGAAACCATACAACTTTTGTCTGAAACATTTTTCTCTCTCGGACTTGGTTTTCGAGTTATTTGGCTGCCTAAGTTAAAATGGGTCACCCTGTATATACAATATATATATATATATATATATCTCAAGCTAACAATACTTATGTGTATATGTACTATTTACTATAATAGTATGTACAACTGTACAAACTTAGATACGAATATAATAGGTTGGATTTACATTGAACGCAACCTAGAAACAAACATCGTAAATTACAGATCAAAATACATAGAAAATTACTGGTAGCTTAGTAATTTAATCAAAATTAACAGGTGATAGAATATATTCTTAATGAATTAACGCAATATAACCAAACGTATCTTTTTATTATTTTATATATAAGCAATGTATATCTCTTAAGCCGGAAGTAAGTCAAAAGATTTAACTCACTTCAAGTGTCACTTGAAACTCGTATACCAAATAATGGAGTTACTTACTGTGAATAATATCAGTCAAAATTCCTACTATCGGTTTCTAAATATGATTCTATACAGATAGAGGGGATACATTTAGTCAACAAGTCCCCTCCCCCCACCTACTCCATCTGGTCTGCACAGTCAGAAGTTTCCGCGCAGCCTGATTTAATTTTACGACCAAAAGGGGGAAGCCGAGTAGATAGTATTTCATCCAACGCGCATCCTCTCCCAAGCATACAGGCCTACTGCGCAGCGGTCTAAAATACCTACTTTCGGTTTCTGATTTCCAGGTGTAATTCTAATCAAATGGGGAGTACAATAGGTCGTAATAAAACCAATCTCACCGCCGAACATCCGATTTGCGCAGTCAAAAGTTTCTGCGTAGCCTATTCAAAATTCTAGTTTTACAGTCAGAAGGGGGGGGATCAAGTGGGTAGTATTTCACCCAACGCGTATCCCCTTTCAAGCACACAGGCAACGATCAAGCACTGCGCAACGATCAAAGTCTGCACTTCCGGTCACCAGTTTCTGATTCTATGCTCATTGACGAATGTGCCAGCGTAATTATTTTTATTAAATACGTTTATGACTGTCTCATAAGCATTATAATTGTATTTCCGAAATTTTATAGTTGATTATTACCTCTATGTCAACTTTATATCTATGTCGGTGTTAGCTAATGGAATGCTTTCTCAGAATACTATACATACTCATGCAAACCCACCATTAGGTTCGTATTCTCATGCGCATCCACCTTCTTGTATTTAAGAAAGTTAGTACATCGCATTCCATTGACACAGGCATTACGCATTAATTTCAAGCGCCAGTTAGTGAATATTATCAGTTAGCGAGTTTACTACGTGATTAGTTAAGTGAGTACAATAATTACCAAGTTTCAGGTGTATTATTATAGAAGACTAGATTGCTCAACTTCAATTAATAGTGTATAATTCCACTTTATTTTTTCATAGTTGCCGTGATAGTAATCGAGAATACCGGATAATTTAAAGTGAAAGAATACTTTTAATATACATCTCCACACATTGTAAGCTTATTTAAACCGATTTTGTGTTATTTAATAAATTAAATATTCATTTTAAATTTTTATATTACATTAACACGTGTTATCAGACGCGATTGAGATAGGGTTGATGACGCAACTTGCGCAGCCAATCGCGTATAACCTACGAGGAATGTGTCAATTTATTTCCATATATGAAAAGAATAGCACAGCTCGTTTATTTTACTACGCTCGTTAAATTTAGTGTGTATGACTTGGTATAATGTATGTATTTTAATAGTTTATTCATTTATATTTACAGCTACCATGCGTTCCACATCAGTGCCCGTGAAAGTAATAACACGGATTCAACACAAAAAAATCTGCGTGTATAAGGTAGGATTACCCGCCAGCACCGTAGTCCTAAACTCGTGTAGGGTTTCCCTATCCTCGATGCCCGTCAATATGCAGCGCATCAATTAAAAGGATTAAATATTGCTAAGGTGAGCACACCAATTTAGAGACAAAAAACATCCCTGGAATTTCAAATTAAATTAGAATTAATTAATAAGTTATCGGTTTTAGGTATCTGATATTCAAGGGTCAATTCGTATCAAAACCACTTCCTGAATAAAAAATGGGAAACATATCACGGCATACAAAGTGACACTGCTAAGGCATTTGCTAAAACATCTCATCTCCTCAATAGTCTCCTTAAAGATGTGCGACGCACAACCACAACCCGACGGTATAAACGTAGTGCCAGAGGTGTTATAATATTTACAATATTTATAACACCGTGATATATAAATAGTGATATTATTTCGGTTATAGAACACTAGTGCGCCAACATCACCAATCCCTATTAAGACCACCAAACGTTGTCTCCGTGGCAAGCAAATAGAAGTCTATAGCATAGATCTGACCAAAGGAGATTTAGAAAACCTCACTACTGCCGAGATAACTCTCGAGAAATGCAAACCAATTACACACCGTAATGTGGGCGAGCAGGGTCCAAGTGGGAAAACGGTGAGCACAAATTATTATCCTCCGCTTTACACAATCCACGTTTCTCGCAACCCTACTGCTATCTTACCCTATCCTCAATTTACATAGGACTCAACACCGAACCAGAGGTCTCAAGGAGAAGAGCTAGCCACTATCAACAAGGGAGACAAAACCTCTCCACCCCGTGTCACCGAAGAACCACCAGGAAGCGAGGAGGAATCCAGAATTCAGGTGCGGTTCGTCAAATCTCGTAGCACTGCGAGCATAAAAGTGTCTCAGTGCAAAGTCACCGTAATAGAGGTATTCAAACGTAATATAAGACTCTGTAAAGTTACAGGGCTCAGTTCAAATGATCCGAATACGTACCCTGCCAGCACTATACGTGACAGAGACGTGCTATCTTGGTCACAAAGTCACAAAAATATGATACGTCTTTCGCACGTTACCGCAACGTAACGTACAAATAAAATTTAATTAGCTATTTATCTGATTTCCTGTAGTTTTATAATTGTTACTTTGAAAATGCTCGCGAGCGATTCCGGCGGTAAAATGTGGAAAGTGAAAGGCCGTCAGTGAAAAGAACGGTTGACTCTGAATGACAAAGACAGACTTTATTAAAGTCAAAATTAAAAGGTTACAAGTGTCCAGTGCGGTGATGACGCCACAATGTGAAGAGACGAGCAGTGCAATGAAGCGAAGCGGTCGCCGTGCGCGGATTCGCGAGAATACGTGCGGGAAATCAAAGTCCGAAAGAGATAGCGGTCGTCGTGTGCGGTTTGATCTGCGGATTTGCCGAAAGAATAGAGAAATGTCCAAAAGAATAGCGGTCGTTTGAATATAGCGGTGTAACAAGCGGTCGAATAATGAGTACGGAGCGTAAAGTGCGAGACTTCTCCGTGCCCTCTCGCTGGGCTCATTATATACCAGGCGGATTTTGGGCCCCGTTGCGACGTGGCCCAATTAACTTCAAAATTTGGCGGTGACCTCATGGCGCCGCGCATAATTGGCCGCCGATGAGGTCAGGAAATAGCGTTGCGGCGTTTGCCATGCGCACGACCTTTTTCGATCAGCTGATTGGCCATCAGCTGATCGTGACGTATGGGCGCGCATGCCCGACTGTTGCGCGGATTTTGGCGGCGGTTGACAATGTTATTGTCAATTGTTTTTACCGAGCGTTTCTTTGGCACCGAAAAAAATGAGAGACAACTCGAACGGTCGGGTTTTTTGCCGAAAATAGAATTTCGAGACGTTTCTCGATTCCCGTTGAATTCGGATTTTATAATAGATAAATGCGGATGTTGTTTCTTCGAATTTTTAGACCGCGACAATAATTACGGATTTCGAACATCCCGCCCGCCTCGTCATTACATGACGAAATTTGGGAGTGTGTGCGGATGCGGACAGGTGTCGCGTACTGTGCCATTGACGAGCTATCGATCGTGATGTATGAATGGAATGTGTGACGTAATGAGAAGACACGTGTCGAACAGTTTCGATTAATCTTTCGCGAGAATAAGTAATGCGGTATGGAGTGAAATTTTTACAGTGATGAAAGGAATGAAAAATCGTACATTGTGAAGTGCAATGATCGACGAAGGCTCCCGCAACGATAGTGAGTGAGTGATAGTGAGTGAGTGATAGTGAGTGAGTGATAATGAAAGTACACGGTGAAATCGCGGAGCGTGCGACAGACAGCTGACATAGAAAATATACATTATATACAAGCGCCGGGAAGCTCCTTATATTACATATGTACAAAGAAGCGCGAAAACGCTACGCAGGGAGAATAACGTTTGAGACTGCTACTCGTCCGCGGGCGTGTGGGCCTCCTTGACTCCCGGCAGGAGGACGAGCTTTACAATCGGCCGGACGAGTTCCGACGTGGACGTTCGGACGGTCACCACGCGGACAGTGCCGTCGCTTCCTGGGTGCAACCGGATGATACGCGCGAGAGGCCATCGGGCAGGTGGAGTTGACTCCGAGCGGATGAGGCACAAAGCTCCGACCTCCGGAGCGAGCTCGGCCTTGAGCCATTTTGGACGGGGTGCCAAGGCGTGGATGTACTCCTGGGACCATCGCTGCCAGAAGTGGTCGCGCATTCGCTGGAGGAGTTGCCACCGCGACAACATACTTGGTGAACGTTCGGCCGATGAAGGCTCTGGAATCGCCAGCAGAGGGGCGCCTATAAGAAGATGTCCTGGAGTCAGTGCGGACAGGTCGTCCGGATCGTCAGATAAGGCCTGCAACGGACGAGAGTTCAGACAAGCTTCGATTTGAGCCAGAAGAGTACTCATCTCCTCGAAGGTAAGCGTAGCTTCTCCTATCACCCGTCGCAGGTGATGTTTCGTCGACTTCACCGCCGCCTCCCAGAGTCCTCCAAAGTGCGGGGCGCTAGGCGGGTTGAAGCGCCAGGATATACCCTCTTTGGTGACTGCCTGAGAGATTCGACGGCCGTCGGGAGAAGATGCTCGGAAAAGTTCTCGGAGTTGTCTGTCTGCTCCGATAAAGTTCGTCCCGCAGTCTGAGTACATTTCCTCGCACAGTCCACGGCGGGAAACGAACCTGCGGAAGGCGGCGAGAAAAGCGTCTGAGGAGTAGTCAGACGCTACTTCAAGGTGGATCGCTCTGGAACAAAGGCAAACGAATACAGCTATGAACGCCTTATGCGCTCGATGTCCACGTCCTTTGGATGTACGGATGAATATCGGGCCAGCGTAATCGACTCCCGTTCTCAGGAAGGGACGAGCAGGAGTAACTCGCTCTCGAGGGAGGTCGCCCATGAGAGGCTGCGGAGTGCTGGCTCGCCAGCGGGTGCAAGTCACGCATCGGTGCAGGATCCGCTTGACCACGGCTCGACCCTGCGGAACCCAGAAGCGGAGGCGGAGGAGCCCCAGAGTGAGCTGCGTGCCTCCATGCAGCGTCCGGCGGTGGCAGGATTCCACCATGAGCTTAGTGAGCCATGAAGTGGGCGGTGCTATCATGGGGTGTCGTTCATCGAAGGTCAGTATGGCGTGTTTCAGGCGACCACCGACACGCAGGACTCCCTTGTCGTCGATGAAGGGGTGCAGCCTGGCCAGGTGACTGCCGTGAGGCATTGAGCGAGACTCACGTACGGCGGCGAGCTCGGCAGGGTAGTGGACTCCCTGGACGACCCTGAGCCAACGGAGTAGAGCGGAGTCGAGTTCGTCCGGGAGCAGTGCAGTGCTGGGGGAACGGCGAGGAGTTCGGCGCCAACGAAGGCACCAGGCAGAGACACGTAAGAGTCTATGCAGCGTTGAGAACTGGAGGAGGATTTCCGGCTCCGGTCTGTCCTTGCTGGTGGCGACTAATACCGTCATTCTCTTTTCAGGAACGTTTTCCATCGATGTCTGGTCGTGGCTGTCCGGCCATAGCGACTGACCCTGAGCAGCCAGGCCGGGCCATTCCACCAGAGGGAGTGGTTCAACAGGTCCCTCGGTGCGATCCCTCTGGACGCACAATCGGCGGATTCTCTTGGCCAGGCACGTGCCTCCATTGAGCTTCGGGGAGCCGCTGCTGGATCAGTGACACTCGGTTGGCCACGTAGGTTTTCCACCGAGACGCGTGGCCCTTGATCCAGTGAAGGACGACTCGGGAGTCGGACCAGAGATATACGGGCGCCGATGGTAGGTCGAGTGAAGACCGGAGGTGCCGTACAAGACCCGTCAGCAAGGATGCAGCGCAAAGTTCTAGCCGTGGGAGCGTCACGGGTTTTATTGGCGCGACCTTGCTTTTAGCCGCCAGCAGGTGAATGGACGTCTCGTCGGCACTCTTCACGCGAAGGTAGACGACCGCCGCGAAACCACGCTCGGACGCGTCGGCGAATCCGTGGATTTCGATCTACGTGCCCTGGTGGACAGTGCCCAGCCAGCGCCTTATTCGGAGGCGCTCCAGTAAATGGAGTTCGGAGAGGAGGCGCCGCCAGGACTGCGCGTCCTCAATTGGGAGCGGAGTGTCCCAATCCAGCCCTTTCAACCACGCTGATTGGATCAGTATCTTTGGCACGGATAATAACAGGGGCGAGCCACCCCAAGGGATCGAATAACCGCGCCGTTTCCGCTAGGACTTGCCTCTTCGTGTACCCCCCAGAGGCTCGAGGCCGGATCGCGAAAGAGAATTCGTCACTGGCGGGATGCCAGCGCAGGCCTAAGGTGGAGTGCACCTCGTTCTCCCAGGAGTGGTGCGCCTGCTGGAGTCGATGATCCGGAGGAACTCCCTCCAGGATTGTCTCGCTATTGGCGGCCCATTTCCGCAGCGGAAACCCGCCCGCCGTGCAAAGCTCTCGGAGTTCCGTCTGCAAGGCGACCGCATCGTGCAAGGTGTCTGATCCCGTAATTACATCATCCATGTAACAGTCACGGCGCAGAGCGGCTGCCCCCTTCGGGCCCCGCGCTTCTTCGTCGGCTGCTAATTGGCGAAGTGTGCGGACGGCGAGGAACGGAGCGCAGGCGAGCCCGTAGGTCACGGTGTTCAGCTCGAATTCTTGGACCTTGTCGGAAGCCCCTGAGTGCCAGAGTATCCGCTGGAAGCGGCGATCTTCCGGATGGACGAGTATTTGCCGGAACATCTTTTCGATATCGGTGACGAATACGAAGCGGTGCCGGCGCCAGCGGAGAAGGACGTCAGCTAATGCTGGCAGTAAGTTGGCGCCGATAAACAGATGCTGGTTGAGGGAGTCTCCGGAGCTGGTGCGTTGTGACCCGTTGAAGACAACGCGGAGCTTAGTACTGGAGCTGGACTGGCGGAGGATTCCATGGTGAGGCAAGTAACATTCAGCGTTGCCGACCGTATGCACAGGACTCATATGTTTCAGGTCCTCATATTCCTGCATGAATTCTCGATACCGAACTCCGAATTCAGGATCTTTCTTGCACCGACGATCCATAGCGTTCAAGAGGCTTCCGGCTGGTTTTCGCGTCTCATCCAGTGACGTTGGCAGGGAAGAAAATGGGAGACGTACGACGTATCTTCCTGAGGCTGTCCGCTGGTGAGTAAGAGTGAAGAAGGTTTCACACTCCTCTTCCTCTGGCGTGGGTGCAACCGGGGGAGACGATTCTCTCTCCTGTTCCCAAAAGTTGTGCACAAGCTGATTTAATTCTTGATCCACAGTGCACTGCAGGGAGCTGCGGAGACCTTGGAAGGACGCCGAGCGGGACCCTCCTGACAGAATCCATCCCAAGGCAGTTTTTTGGGCGAGGGTTCTTGGGGACCACCCTTGCGAAGGCCGACTTCCAGGATGATCGAGTAAACTTCGGCGCCCAACAATAACTCGACCGGGTCGCGCTCCTGATACCTGGGGTCGGCGAGTTCAAGACCACGGGCATGAGGCCAGGAGGCGAGGTTGGTTACCGCCGGACCCTGATACGCCGACAGGCGGGGTAGCACGAAGGCGACGGCCTTAAGCTTGGCTCCTGTGATCGGCGAGGAGAGATCGAGCGACACCCTGCCGCGGGTTGACCCGGATCGAGCTCCGCCGATGCCGATGATTGACACTGAGGAGCTGGAGCGGGGAAGCCTCAGGCGCTGGACCAGCGCCTCGGAGATGATTGACACCTCGGAGCCTTGATCGAGCATCGCTCGAACTGGATGAAGATCCCCGGAGCGATCAGTGATGTGCACACGGGCGGTCGCGAGGAGGATCGCCTTGCGGTCAGATGCGGAGTGCATCGCGGATAGAGCGGTTGCTTCGTTGGACGAGGACGAAACATACGCGTCGTGCAGCGTAGTGTGGTGCTTGTTCTTGCACGTCAGACAGGTCCTTACAGACTGACATTTGGAAATTAAGTGATTCCGAGGCAGTTATAGCACAGTCTGCCCTGTTCCACAAAGGACCTTCGGTCAATCGCAGGCTTGGCCTTGAATTCGTTACAGTGCATGAGCGCGTGCTTTCCCTGACACAGTGCGCACTTCAAGTGGTCGGATCCGGTCTTCGCGTGGTGGGCCTTTGCGGTTCGCGACGGACTTTCGGAGCTCTTCAGCGGTGATCTCGGGCTTGGCGGCATTTAGGTGTAAGAATGCGCTTGGCGGATGAAGTCGACAAGAGTGTCGTGATCCGGCGGATCAGCGGAGTCGCAGGTAGAGGACTCCCATTCCATCCGTGTACGCGAGTCAAAAAGCTCGATAGCGAGGAAATTAAGGAGATCCATGCCATGGGAGTTGATGGGGCCTCCCTATACTCTCCTGTGCGTTTACCGCGGTCGTAACGGCGTTATGGATGCGACCGAGTTCCTCCGCGGATTCGCATTTCATTTTGGGAACCGAGGTGAACGCAGCGAAAATTAGAAACGGATGAGCTCTCTTTTATTCTCGAAGTGTTTGCACAGAACCGACCAAGCGCGATGATAATTGTCACCGGTCACTGTTAATGACTTGATTAATTTTTCAGCGGCCCCTTTGACGCAAGACCGGAGGTAGTGAAAACGCTCGATGTCGGAGACTGACGCATTCCCCCGATAACCGATAGGAAGAGATCGCGGAAGGACGGCCACTCCTCTACGATCCCGAAAACGTCGAAAGCTTGATGCGTGGCAGCGAGGTTTTAGGAGCTGTTCCTGATTCGGCTCGCCTTTAGCCTCAACGGACGCCTCGCCCTTGAGCTTTTCCGCGTAGCCGGTCAACGTGCTACGTTGCGTCACGTAAGTATTCTCCGCGACTTCGATAAAATTGGATACAGCGTACTCACTGTCCTGATACCGGTCTTTCAGCGCTGCTCGAACGAGCTCATGCTGGGCCTCCATTTTCTGCCAGAGGTTGTCCAGGATACTGATGCGGGCTTGGATGGCGTCGCGGGTGATGTTGCTCACGCCCATCTTCCGAAGATTGTCCACGGCGCGGGAGATCCGACCGTGGATGTCGTGCTGTGCCTCCAGCAATACCTTAACGTCTGTACTCATGCTCAATGTTCTTCTTGTGTTTTCAGAGTTCACTGCACGCCACAAACTGCACGACACTGAGAGGATCACTCACGAAACAGCGGACGCGGATGATGATAATACTCCGGCTCGAAGGACCAGAAATGCTCGCGAGCGATTCCGGCGGTAAAATGTGGAAAGTGAAAGATTGACGACAAGAAGCGCGTTGTCAAGAGGTTGTTGACAGCAGCGTCTGTCATTTGAGTTCGGTTCCTACGGTTTTGTTTTGGGGGCTCGTCCGAGATAGAACGGACTCCGCGGTAATTCCTTCCGAGCAACGTTTCTGTGCCAAAAAGACGGAGAGATGGCTACCAATTTCGAGCTGCAAGAACCAGCGACAGACGTCTCTACGCGCAAGAGGATCCGTGCGGCGACCCCGCTTCCTTCTTCGGGACCGTCGTTGGAGGCGACCACGCTCCAGGCTGCGATGCGGGAGATCCGCGAGCTGCGAGAGGAGCGTCGGCAAATGCGCGCTGAATTCGAGGCGCAGCTCTGGGAGAGGGACGGCAAGCTCCGTCGTCTGGAGGAGAGCTACAGCGAGAGCGTCAACCACTCCACCTTCCGCGAGCGTCAACCACTCCTTAGCTCCACAGCTAAGTCCTTCCAATAATAGAGCGCGCGACGCGGACTTACATTCACTCGAGCTCGGTTTTAAACTCAAACCCGACAACTACGACGGAAGTGCTCCCTTGCACGAATTTTTTGAATTCGAATTGATTGCGCGAGCTAACAGATGGAATGATTCCCACAAGACGGTAGCTCTAGCAGCTTGGTCTAAGGGATAAAGCGCGTTTTAGTTTTAGACGGGATATTTGAAATCGAGAATTTGAAATTCGAGGATTTAAAGTCGAAATTGGAATTACGATTTCAGGAGGGGCATTTGGTTCAGTCTTTTATTCTCAATTCACTAATAGAAAACAGAAAATTTTCGGAGGATTTGGCTATCCTGGGCGCGGATTTAGAAAGATTATCTCGACTCGCTTACCCCGAATGCTCCCACGAGATGAGGGATAAAATTGCTTGCGCGCAATTCATAGCCGCGTTGACGGACGGCTTTCTTAAGAGAACTTTACAGTTGGAAATATTTCTTCCTTAAAAGTCGCGGTAGAAAGAGCGATGGCTGTGAAAGTCATCCAAGAAAATAGCTTTCCCAAGAACAAATTTAATAAATTGAATAGCAGATTTAATAACAAATTCGGCGGACAAAAGATTGGGGAGGTGAAAACAAACGAAACGGTAAAGGGAGGTTAGAAAATAAGAATAATAAGATTTCGGAAGAACAGCTTTTGACTCGAAAAGGAGTGTTGGCATTGCGGCGCTGAGGGGCACTTCCGATCAGAATGCCCGTCCTATGAGGAAAACAAGAATTAGTCGAACTTTTCGGGGGCGGGTTCGATGGGGGGGAATAAATGCCCCAGATGAAAAATATTTTAATTTAGGTAGGATTAAAGAAAATTCGTTTTTGTTTTGTTATAAAGGTTCGGTTGATCATAATAGCTGTAATTTTTAAAATTGACACGGGCTCCGATGTCTCAGTTTTAAATTAAAAAACTGGTTAAAGTGCCAGGACGGCGGTACGAGGTTAGGGGAAGCTTTATTAGATACCCGACGGGAGAGGTGTTCCGTGTTCTTTTTAGAGTCGATTGTTTAAGTTAAATTAGGGAAGTTTCTTTATACGTTTCGATGCTAGTTGNCGAAAGCGCGGGTAATCAAAGTATCAAATTTCGACGATAGATTAATATCGGAGAAAAAAGTACGCAAGCATGGAAACATGCTGCCGAGTACTATACGCAGTATTGTTTGCGGCCCTTCAAATTGTGGTAAGACAAACGTGTTGATTAGTTTGATAGAAAGTCTGCACGGTGTACGTTTCGAGAACGTGTACGTATACTCGAAATCGCTTCAACAGCCGAAATACAAATACTTGGAAAATTTACTAGCACCTATAGACGAAATTGGTTATTTTACATTCTCTAATAACAGCGATGTCATTCACCGATAGGCGCTTCCGAATTCCATCTTTATCTTTGATGACGTGGCGTGCGACAAGCAAGATACGATAAGAGAGTACTTTGCAATGGTCGACACTCGAGCGTTGACTGTTTCTATCTTTGTCAGACGTACGCCAAGATACCTAAGCATCTTATACGCGACAACGCGAACCTGCTGATCCTGTTTAAACAAGACGGCACAAACTTGAAACACGTGTACAACGATCACGTGAATACCGACATGTCTTACGATGATTTCCGTGCATTGTGTCAGAAATGTTGGCAACGCAAATATGGCTTCGTAGTCATTGATAAAGATAGTACGTTGATCAATGGACGATATAGAAGGGATTTAATGATTTCGCGATACCGTAAAGCGATCAGTCGTCATCGACACATCGATCGAGCATCATGAACGGCGATCGTGAAAAGATTGCGACAGAGATTGCAAAAATGAGCGAATCGATTCGCAAAAAATATCGCGCTTTGAAAACTGGTAAAATGGAGGAAGATATCATATTGGAAAGGCAATTTAAACCGATTACCGAGCCTTTAAAACAGCTTGTCGAAAATACTGTGGAATCTGATGCATCGAAAATCGAACCGTTGAGTTTGACGTTTGAAGAGAAGCACGAGGAAAAAATAAAAGAGTCCAAGCAAGGAATAAAGCGAGCACGGATAAATATGCCGATAAACGATTCACCGATATATTCGATACCGAATCGATCAAAGCGAAGGAAGCAATTTTCTAATATGGCTACTGTTTCTACTCCGATAAAAGTACAACCGCGTCAAACAATACCATCCACGTCCGTCGAAGAAATTTACGAGACCACACCCGATTCGTTTGTAACATCGGTCCGACACGAATTAGAAACGTCCGAAGGTCAGAAAACGTTCCGAGAGCATTTAGGTCCACTGGCGCAAAAATATATAGGAGATATTATGAGTGTTGATAAAAATAAGAGCATGGATTACGTCTACGGTGTTAAATTTACCAACGAAGGAATGATGCTCGGGATAAATGTTTCGATGTGGACAAGGAAGATAATATAATTATCGATGGAATAAAATATAAGGGAACCGAAGAAATCTACGATTTGATTTTTAAAAAAATTTCCCAATCATAAAAAATATACTTGAGATGTTTTGCATAAATATCAAAGTATATTAAATATAACAAATGCGCATAAACGTGACAACAAAGTTAATAATCCAATTAAAAGTAATAAAGAACAAGTACAAATATATAATTGCGCCATTATTCTCCGATAGAAAGATGGGAAGAGGTATAGACGTGCCGCGCACTATGACGTTAAGCGACAACATGATCGATTACGTGCATTGGAACGATCCCAACGAATTGGTGGATCGTTTGCGATTGCGATTCGACGCGCGTTGCGCGTCGAGCCGGCAACAATGCTCACGACAATGAAATCTTGTCAATTATCGAAGAACTTCGCGAGGCCGGCATTATTATAAATTAAACTATGCGTCGACGATACGTGTCATTCGGTCAATGTTCTCGGTACCGAAATGTCGATTAATAAATTTGGATTATCGTTGGGAACGTCGAACAATTTGTACTATGAATGGAATGGATTATTGAGAAATTACGTTCGCGATAACGCTCTCTGTCAGATCTACCGGCTTTGATGCAAGATTCAACGCGTAGCGCAACCGGAAGCTGATACCGACGTCGTCAACAAACGATACGTGGATAAACTTTTGAGAGATCGACAGGGAGAAATTGAGCAAAAAATTATCGCGCTCGAAACAAACGTGCAGGCGCTGCCATTAATGATGGATGAGATAAAGAATGTGCTGAGATATGCAACATCTGACTCGACACAGTAAGCGAGATATACTAATATCACATATTAATTATGCCTCGATCAAACGTGCGAGAGAACAAAAACACCTCCGAAAAGCGACAACTAGTCGAGGAATTACATGCTCCGGCGAGAAGAAATTTTCCACGAAGACGCGTCATTGTACGCGGATACGACGATCTGTGGCAGGCGGACGTGTGGACATGCGTTCGTACTCTTGACTCAACAAGGGTCATAAATACATACTCACGGTTATCGATGTGTTGAACAAGTATGCGTGGGCCGTACCGCTCAAGAGTAAGAGCGGGAACGAAATGTCCGAAACGATCGCAAAGATTATTGGAGACGATAAAAGATGTCCGAAAAATTTTCAAACCGACAGGGGAAAAGAATTTTACAACTCGAGTGTGCAGAAACTCATGAAGAAACACAACATTAATCATTACTCGACATATTCCGTTATGAAAGCCTCGGTCGTGGAACGATTCAATCGTACTTTAAAAAACAATATGTGGAAAGTGTTTACGTTGAATGGAAATTACAAATTGATCGACGAGCTATCTCGACTCGTTGCAGAGTACAATACGCGAAAACATCGCACCGTCGGTATGAGACCTGTCGACGTCACTCCGTTGATCGCCGAAAACTTTTAAATACAGTTGTTCGCGAGCGATTCCGGCGGTAAAATGTGGAAAGTGAAAGGCCGTCAGTGAAAAGAACGGTTGACTCTGAATGACAAAGACAGACTTTATTAAAGTCAAAATTAAAAGGTTACAAGTGTCCAGTGCGGTGATGACGCCACAATGTGAAGAGACGAGCAGTGCAATGAAGCGAAGCGGTCGCCGTGCGCGGATTCGCGAGAATACGTGCGGGAAATCAAAGTCGAAAGAGATAGCGGTCGTCGTGTGCGGTTTGATCTGCGGATTTGCCGAGAGAATAGAGAAATGTCCAAAAGAATAGCGGTCGTTTGAATATAGCGGTGTAACAAGCGGTCGAATAATGAGTACGGAGCGTAAAGTGCGAGACTTCCTCGTGCCCTCTCGCTGGGCTCATTATATACCAGGCGGATTTTGGGCCCCGTTGCGACGTGGCCCAATTAACTTCAAAATTTGGCGGTGACCTCATGGCGCCGCGCATAATTGGCCGCCGATGAGGTCAGGAAATAGCGTTGCGGCGTTTGCCATGCGCACGACCTTTTTCGATCAGCTGATTGGCCATCAGCTGATCGTGACGTATGGGCGCGCATGCCCGACTGTTGCGCGGATTTTGGCGGCGGTTGACAATGTTATTGTCAATTGTTTTTACCGAGCGTTTCTTTGGCACCGAAAAAAATGAGAGACAACTCGAACGGTCGGGTTTTTTGCCGAAAATAGAATTTCGAGAAGTTTCTCGATTCCCGTTGAATTCGGATTTTATGATAGATAAAGGCGGATGTTGTTTCTTCGAATTTTTAGACCGCGACATAATTACGGATTTCGAATATCCCGCCCGCCTCGTCATTACATGACGAAATTTGGGAGTGTGTGCGGATGCGGACAGGTGTCGCGTACTGTGCCATTGACGAGCTATCGATCGTGATGTATGAATGGAATGTGTGACGTAATGAGAAGACACGTGTCGAACAGTTTCGATTAATCTTTCGCGAGAATAAGTAATGCGGTATGGAGTGAAATTTTTACAGTGATGAAAGGAATGAAAAATCGTACATTGTGAAGTGCAATGATCGACGAAGGCTCCCGCAACGATAGTGAGTGAGTGATAGTGAGTGAGTGATAATGAAAGTACACGGTGAAATCGCGGAGCGTGCGACAGACAGCTGACATAGAAAATATACATTATATACAAGCGCCGGGAAGCTCCTTATATTACATATGTACAAAGAAGCGCGAAAACGCTACGCAGGGAGAATAACGTTTGAGACTGCTACTCGTCCGCGGGCGTGTGGGCCTCCTTGACTCCCGGCAGGAGGACGAGCTTTACAATCGGCCGGACGAGTTCCGACGTGGACGTTCGGACGGTCACCACGCGGACAGTGCCGTCGCTTCCTGGGTGCAACCGGATGATACGCGCGAGAGGCCATCGGGCAGGTGGAGTTGACTCCGAGCGGATGAGGCACAAAGCTCCGACCTCCGGAGCGAGCTCGGCCTTGAGCCATTTTGGACGGGGTGCCAAGGCGTGGATGTACTCCTGGGACCATCGCTGCCAGAAGTGGTCGCGCATTCGCTGGAGGAGTTGCCACCGCGACAACATACTTGGTGAACGTTCGGCCGATGAAGGCTCTGGAATCGCCAGCAGAGGGGCGCCTATAAGAAGATGTCCTGGAGTCAGTGCGGACAGGTCGTCCGGATCGTCAGATAAGGCCTGCAACGGACGAGAGTTCAGACAAGCTTCGATTTGAGCCAGAAGAGTACTCATCTCCTCGAAGGTAAGCGTAGCTTCTCCTATCACCCGTCGCAGGTGATGTTTCGTCGACTTCACCGCCGCCTCCCAGAGTCCTCCAAAGTGCGGGGCGCTAGGCGGGTTGAAGCGCCAGGATATACCCTCTTTGGTGACTGCCTGAGAGATTCGACGGCCGTCGGGAGAAGATGCTCGGAAAAGTTCTCGGAGTTGTCTGTCTGCTCCGATAAAGTTCGTCCCGCAGTCTGAGTACATTTCCTCGCACAGTCCACGGCGGGAAACGAACCTGCGGAAGGCGGCGAGAAAAGCGTCTGAGGAGTAGTCAGACGCTACTTCAAGGTGGATCGCTCTGGAACAAAGGCAAACGAATACAGCTATGAACGCCTTATGCGCTCGATGTCCACGTCCTTTGGATGTACGGATGAATATCGGGCCAGCGTAATCGACTCCCGTTCTCAGGAAGGGACGAGCAGGAGTAACTCGCTCTCGAGGGAGGTCGCCCATGAGAGGCTGCGGAGTGATGGCTCGCCAGCGGGTGCAAGTCACGCATCGGTGCAGGATCCGCTTGACCACGGCTCGACCCTGCGGAACCCAGAAGCGGAGGCGGAGGAGCCCCAGAGTGAGCTGCGTGCCTCCATGCAGCGTCCGGCGGTGGCAGGATTCCACCATGAGCTTAGTGAGCCATGAAGTGGGCGGTGCTATCATGGGGTGTCGTTCATCGAAGGTCAGTATGGCGTGTTTCAGGCGACCACCGACACGCAGGACTCCCTTGTCGTCGATGAAGGGGTGCAGCCTGGCCAGGTGACTGCCGTGAGGCATTGAGCGAGACTCACGTACGGCGGCGAGCTCGGCAGGGTAGTGGACTCCCTGGACGACCCTGAGCCAACGGAGTAGAGCGGAGTCGAGTTCGTCCGGGAGCAGTGCAGTGCTGGGAGAACGGCGAGGAGTTCGGCGCCAACGAAGGCACCAGGCAGAGACACGTAAGAGTCTATGCAGCGTTGAGAACTGGAGGAGGATTTCCGGCTCCGGTCTGTCCTTGCTGGTGGCGACTAATACCGTCATTCTCTTTTCAGGAACGTTTTCCATCGATGTCTGGTCGTGGCTGTCCGGCCATAGCGACTGACCCTTGAGCAGCCAAGCCGGGCCATTCCACCAGAGGGAGTGGTTCAACAGGTCCCTCGGTGCGATCCCTCTGGACGCACAATCGGCGGGATTCTCTTGGCCAGGCACGTGCCTCCATTGAGCTTCGGGGAGCCGCTGCTGGATCAGTGACACTCGGTTGACCACGTAGGTTTTCCACCGAGACGCGTGGCCCTTGATCCAGTGAAGGACGACTCGGGAGTCGGACCAGAGATATACGGGCGCCGATGGTAGGTCGAGTGAAGACCGGAGGTGCCGTACAAGACCCGTCAGCAAGGATGCAGCGCAAAGTTCTAGCCGTGGGAGCGTCACGGGTTTTATTGGCGCGACCTTGCTTTTAGCCGCCAGCAGGTGAATGGACGTCTCGTCGACACTCTTCACGCGAAGGTAGACGACCGCCGCGAAACCACGCTCGGACGCGTCGGCGAATCCGTGGATTTCGATCTGCGTGCCCTGGTGGACAGTGCCCAGCCAGCGCCTTATTCGGAGGCGCTCCAGTAAATGGAGTTCGGAGAGGAGGCGCCGCCAGGACTGCGCGTCCTCAATTGGGAGCGGAGTGTCCCAATCCAGCCCTTTCAACCACGCTGATTGGATCAGTATCTTGGCACGGATAATAACAGGGGCGAGCCACCCCAAGGGATCGAATAACCGCGCCGTTTCCGCTAGGACTTGCCTCTTCGTGTACCCCCCAGAGGCTCGAGGCCGGATCGCGAAAGAGAATTCGTCACTGGCGGGATGCCAGCGCAGGCCTAAGGTGGAGTGCACCTCGTTCTCCCAGGAGTGGTGCGCCTGCTGGAGTCGATGATCCGGAGGAACTCCCTCCAGGATTGTCTCGCTATTGGCGGCCCATTTCCGCAGCGGAAACCCGCCCGCCGTGCAAAGCTCTCGGAGTTCCGTCTGCAAGGCGACCGCATCGCGCAAGGTGTCTGATCCCGTAATTACATCATCCATGTAACAGTCACGGCGCAGAGCGGCTGCCTCCTTCGGGCCCCGCGCTTCTTCGTCGGCTGCTAATTGGCGAAGTGTGCGGACGGCGAGGAACGGAGCGCAGGCGAGCCCGTAGGTCACGGTGTTCAGCTCGAATTCTTGGACCTTGTCGGAAGCCCCTGAGTGCCAGAGTATCCGCTGGAAGCGGCGATCTTCCGGATGGACGAGTATTTGCCGGAACATCTTTTCGATATCGGTGACGAATACGAAGCGGTGCCGGCGCCAGCGGAGAAGGACGTCAGCTAATGCTGGCAGTAAGTTGGCGCCGATAAACAGATGCTGGTTGAGGGAGTCTCCGGAGCTGGTGCGTTGTGACCCGTTGAAGACAACGCGGAGCTTAGTACTGGAGCTGGACTGGCGGAGGATTCCATGGTGAGGCAAGTAACATTCAGCGTTGCCGACCGTATGCACAGGACTCATATGTTTCAGGTCCTCATATTCCTGCATGAATTCTCGATACCGAACTCCGAATTCAGGATCTTTCTTGCACCGACGATCCATAGCGTTCAAGAGGCTTCCGGCTGGTTTTCGCGTCTCATCCAGTGACGTTGGCCAGGAAGAAAATGGGAGACGTACGACGTATCTTCCTGAGGCTGTCCGCTGGTGAGTAAGAGTGAAGAAGGTTTCACACTCCTCTTCCTCTGGCGTGGGCGCAACCGGGGGAGACGATTCTCTCTCCTGTTCCCAAAAGTTGTGCACAAGCTGATTTAATTCTTGATCCACAGTGCACTGCAGGGAGCTGCGGAGACCTTGGAAGGACGCCGAGCGGGACCCTCCTGACAGAATCCATCCCAAGGCAGTTTTTTGGGCGAGGGGTTCTTGGGGACCACCCTTGCGAAGGCCGACTTCCAGGATGATCGAGTAAACTTCGGCGCCCAACAATAACTCGACCGGGTCGCGCTCCTGATACCTGGGGTCGGCGAGTTCAAGACCACGGGCATGAGGCCAGGAGGCGAGGTTGGTTACCGCCGGACCCTGATACGCCGACAGGCGGGGTAGCACGAAGGCGACGGCCTTAAGCTTGGCTCCTGTGATCGGCGAGGAGAGATCGAGCGACACCCTGCCGCGGGTTGACCCGGATCGAGCTCCGCCGATGCCGATGATTGACACTGAGGAGCTGGAGCGGGGAAGCCTCAGGCGCTGGACCAGCGCCTCGGAGATGATTGACACCTCGGAGCCTTGATCGAGCATCGCTCGAACTGGATGAAGATCCCCGGAGCGATCAGTGATGTGCACACGGGCGGTCGCGAGGAGGATCGCCTTGCGGTCAGATGCGGAGTGCATCGCGGATAGAGCGGTTGCTTCGTTGGACGAGGACGAAACATACGCGTCGTGCAGCGTAGTGTGGTGCTTGTTCTTGCACGTCAGACAGGTCCTTACAGACTGACATTTGGAAATTAAGTGATTCCCGAGGCAGTTATAGCACAGTCTGCCCTGTTCCACAAAGGACCTTCGGTCAATCGCAGGCTTGGCCTTGAATTCGTTACAGTGCATGAGCGCGTGCTTTCCCTGACACAGTGCGCACTTCAAGTGGTCGGATCCGGTCTTCGCGTGGTGGGCCTTTGCGGTTCGCGACGGACTTTCGGAGCTCTTCAGCGGTGATCTCGGCTTGGCGGCATTTAGTGTAAGAATGCGCTTGGCGATGAAGTCGACAAGAGTGTCGTGATCCGGCGGATCAGCGGAGTCGCAGGTAGAGGACTCCCATTCCATCCGTGTACGCGAGTCAAAAAGCTCGATAGCGAGGAAATTAAGGAGATCCATGCCATGGGAGTTGATGGGCCTCCCTATACTCTCCTGTGCGTTTACCGCGGTCGTAACGGCGTTATGGATGCGACCGAGTTCCTCCGCGGATTCGCATTTCATTTTGGGAACCGAGGTGAACGCAGCGAAATTAGAACGGATGAGCTCTCTTTTATTCTCGAAGTGTTTGCACAGAACCGACCAAGCGCGATGATAATTGTCACCGGTCACTGTTAATGACTTGATTAATTTTTCAGCGGCCCCTTTGACGCAAGACCGGAGGTAGTGAAAGCGCTCGATGTCGGAGACTGACGCATTCCCCCCGATAACCGATAGGAAGAGATCGCGGAAGGACGGCCACTCCTCGTACGATCCCGAAAACGTCGGAAGCTTGATGCGTGGCAGCGAGGTTTTAGGAGCCTGTTCCTGATTCGGCTCGCCTTTAGCCTCAACGGACGCCTCGCCCTTGAGCTTTTCCGCGTAGCCGGTCAACGTGCTACGTTGCGTCACGTAAGTATTCTCCGCGACTTCGATAAAATTGGATACAGCGTACTCACTGTCCTGATACCGGTCTTTCAGCGCTGCTCGGACGAGCTCATGCTGGGCCTCCATTTTCTGCCAGAGGTTGTCCAGGATACTGATGCGGGCTTGGATGGCGTCGCGGGTGATGTTGCTCACGCCCATCTTCCGAAGATTGTCCACGGCGCGGGAGATCCGACCGTGGATGTCGTGCTGTGCCTCCAGCAATACCTTAACGTCTGTACTCATGCTCAATGTTCTTCTTGTGTTTTCAGAGTTCACTGCACGCCACAAACTGCACGACACTGAGAGGATCACTCACGAAACAGCGGACGCGGATGATGATAATAATCCGGCTCGAAGGACCAGAAATGTTCGCGAGCGATTCCGGCGGTAAAATGTGGAAAGTGAAAGGCCGTCAGTGAAAAGAACGGTTGACTCTGAATGACAAAGACAGACTTTATTAAAGTCAAAATTAAAAGGTTACAAGTGTCCAGTGCGGTGATGACGCCACAATGTGAAGAGACGAGCAGTGCAATGAAGCGAAGCGGTCGCCGTGCGCGGATTCGCGAGAATACGTGCGGGAAATCAAAGTCCGAAAGAGATAGCGGTCGTCGTGTGCGGTTTGATCTGCGGATTTGCCGAGAGAATAGAGAAATGTCCAAAAGAATAGCGGTCGTTTGAATATAGCGGTGTAACAAGCGGTCGAATAATGAGTACGGAGCGTAAAGTGCGAGACTTCCTCGTGCCCTCTCGCTGGGCTCATTATATACCAGGCGGATTTTGGGCCCCGTTGCGACGTGGCCCAATTAACTTCAAAATTTGGCGGTGACCTCATGGCGCCGCGCATAATTGGCCGCCGATGAGGTCAGGAAATAGCGTTGCGGCGTTTGCCATGCGCACGACCTTTTTCGATCAGCTGATTGGCCATCAGCTGATCGTGACGTATGGGCGCGCATGCCCGACTGTTGCGCGGATTTTGGCGGCGGTTGACAATGTTATTGTCAATTGTTTTTACCGAGCGTTTCTTTGGCACCGAAAAAAATGAGAGACAACTCGAACGGTCGGGTTTTTTGCCGAAAATAGAATTTCGAGAAGTTTCTCGATTCCCGTTGAATTCGGATTTTATGATAGATAAAGGCGGATGTTGTTTCTTCGAATTTTTAGACCGCGACAATAATTACGGATTTCGAACAACAGTGTATAGCAACGTAAAAATTGCGGCTCCGGCAAAATTTAAAGTAGGCGATTCGGTACGCGTGAGCAAATACAAAACCATGTTTGAAAAAGGTTTCACACCAAATTGGACGACTGAAATTTTTAAGATTATCAAGGTGCAGAAAACTAATCCCGCGACATTCATACTCGAAGATTCGCGGGGAAATCCCGTCGCTGGAGGATTCTACGAATACGAGTTACTACGCGTCGCCAATCCCGACGTATATCTCGTGGAAAAAATTTTACAAAAAAAGGGTGACGAGGTTTACGTGAAATGGTTGGGAATGAATAAATCATACAACTCTTGGATTCATAAAAATAATGTATTGTAAACATTTATTAAAATATAAATATAAATATATAAATATAAAATATAAATATATAATGTACAAAATATAAAAATATATACATGGTTATGTACAAAATATATATAAAAATATATACAATATAAATATATACAATTAATAAACAAAATATACATTTATTTACAATGGTATCCGATAATGTCCCCACGGTATCATATCGGTGGTATCGGGTAGGATATACCGCTTGTCGTCGTACGGACTTAGAGCAATTTTTGTCTCACGGATCGTGTATACTTGGTGTAATTTAGATCGTATACACGACTGCTGACGCGTCATTTCAATCTCTTCGTTCAAGCACCGCGTGTAACACAGGTCTACAAATTAAAGGGTATTTTTTATCACATGAAAATTTATATTGATTTCCGAAGGAATTTGGTACGCTGAATCCAAATCTGGCCTAAAAATGGCGCCATCACATCAGGATTTTGAGATATTCTAACCTAAAAGTGCAAAAATGGCTGTTTTAAGGCATTATTGAAGTTCACTCCCGGTTGCATAGAATTTTACCGACAAAAATTAAACAATGTACCGTAAAGTATGATTCTTGCCCTTTAATTTCCATTTTTAACCGTCCAAATAGGAGTTTTTTTCACCGAGATACATTGAATTTAATTTTTTACTGCATACAGAAAATCACATAAAGCGAGGATGTTGGTTTATTTGAAATATCTTAACTTTTTTGGTTTTGAGTAATTCTGGAAAAAAGAGTTTGTAGTTCAAAGAAACCTTTTAGATTTAAAAGTTAACGCAGAGTACCAAAGTATTTTTTTATTTTTTAATTTTAAATTTTTTAGATCTACGTCCGCCATATTGAATCCGTCATCTTGAATTTTGGAAATCTGAGCCCAGATTCGTGAGCAGCGACCCTCGGAACCCTTTGAACTACAAACTCTTTTTTCCAGAATTACTCAAAACCAAAAAAGTTAAGGTATTTCAAATGAACCAACATCCTATGTGATTTTCTGTATGCAGTAAAAACTTAAATCCAATGTATCTCGGTGAAAAAAACTCCTATTTGGACGTTTACAAATGGAAATTAAAGGGCAAGAATCATACTTTACGGTACATTGTTTAATTTTTGTGTCGGTAAAATTCTATGCAACCGGAAGTGAACTTCAATAATGCCTTAAAACAGCCATTTTTGCACTTTTAGGTTAGAATATCTCAAAATCCAGACGTGATGGCGTCATTTTTAGGCCAGATTTGGATTCAGCGCACCAAATTCCTTCGGGTACACCTTTTACTTCTTTTGTGATAAAATCTTGTTGACCTGTGTAATCGTTGAACGTTATCGTTCTCGACAACGTTGCTCTTGATGCCTTTGACTTTCTTCGTATCCTT